ACCTCGGATCGACACCAGATTTGTAACAAATGTAGTATAGACCTCAGAGAAACTTGCTTGAGAGTTTTATAAGTTTATAGAAGACATGAAGTTTAACGGCAAAAACTACAAGTTCTGTTGTGTTTGAAATTTAAGTGTAGGTGAACGAAGAAATGACCAAAATCTTTTATCGGCTAATTCTTCAGATGTCGTTAGTAGCATTCGATTCTCCTGATATGATACGACATTTTAATACCAAGCATTCTTTCTTTCTTTCTTTTACACTTGGATTTTATTAGATTTTTATTTAGAATTAATCAGTTTCCAGAAATAACGATTTTTGGTATATTAAAAACAATTCTCGTTTTCATTGTCGTGTTTCCCTTCTAAAAATGTATGTTGGGAGTTTAATTTGTGCTACATATATTTAATCTAACCCAAAGAAATGCCTATTTAAATGTTTCATATTTATTTCAGGATATTCAGTCAGAAATGCTAAAATCCGAACCCGACCTTTTAAGCTTTCAACGAAGCTATTTACAAAAAATTCAGCATGCTCACAATATCGATGAATCGGGGTACAGTCTACTAATATATTTTCATTAGGCGACAGTGTTAACTTTTTCTCACGCAGCCCGTCCCTTCTTATTGTATACACTGATTGCAAGTTCAGGAACTATTTCCTTTTACAGCACTTCTTTCTTCCCCTACTGATTCTAAAAATACGCTTGCATTCATTATACTCCTGAACAATTTAACTTATTAATGTTATCGGAATGCGTGGCATAATGGTTAGCGCACCGGCCTTTCAAACAAAGGGTTTTGGGTTCGATCCCTGTTGGAGGAGCAATTTTTTTTTATTTTTTACATTTTTCTTCTTTTTTTCAAACCAAATGACACGGAAACACTTAAAAAGGTGGAAAGACCTCTTAGTTTACTAGTTTTTTTTTTTTTTTTTTTTTTTTTTTTTTTTTTTTTTTAACTATAGACCCTTCTTTATAAAATGTATATAACGTTACAGCTGTTTATGTACAGTGGGGATTTTTTGTTTGGAGTGGTGGGGGGTTGGTTGGTTGCATGGGCCACGACGCTCAAGTGATTCAGTTATTTTTAACCAGAGGATTTGAAACATATTTTCCTCCTTTCATCCAATATTTTTAACCCCATTTTGTTCACCAAGCTAGCTTCAGGATATAGTGATTTAGCTAAACTTGAATTCTTAATTGTCTAAGAAGAAATAAAAGTCAATTAAATCTAAAGATTTTTTAAAAGGTAACCTCATACTTTCATGCAAAGAAAGAAATGTTTTTTTCTGATCTCATGAATGCTGTAAAATTGTCATATCAGTTTTTAAGCAATGATACAACAATTATGATATTATTTTCCAACACCTGTAACTCTTGTACATACGTTTGTTCCTATCTTGTTGACTAGTTTTATATGTTTAAGAATTGTATTATGTTTGTACTCTTATGCTTCATGTGAGGCCTTGATTGAATAAAAAGTTTCAAAGTTTCACCCTCATGTTGCTAACAAGAGGCAATTGAGCAACAACGCTCACCCGAGTCAATATGGCCCTGTCGTTTTTTAACAGCAGATTTCTTCCAGGGATGGGGTAATTGAAAAAAGTGATTGTAATCGAGTGTAATTAATTACATTTTTCAAAGTAATTGGAAGTTATTTGTAATTGAGTCTGCTTTGTATTACAAGTAATTGAATGTATTTAAACAAATTTCAAAAAATGTCATGTATTTTCAAATATTTTTCAGGTACATTTCAATTACTTTTTTTCAAGTTAAAGTTTAAAAAGGTGTCTTTTTTATGATGCATAGTTTGCATACCTGTTTGGTATGAGCTGGTGTTTATGCAATAATTAAATGTCTCATAATGTTTAATTTGTTTATACAGCATGACATGCTGTCCAGGACGGACCGTACGTAAGGTCTAATTTTGCTCAGGTGTGAACCTCTCTCATACCCAGGAACAAAAATACTGAATAAAAGTTCACTATAGAAAAACATCTTTAGAACCAAAAATGAATTCAAGGGTACTGGATGAATTTAAAAATCTTCAGACCTGAAAGATGTTTGAGTGATGCTGTGTTTGAAAATATAATGATGATTAAATGAACTCAAAACTGTAGAAACATTTCAGTACAAAATGTCTGTAAATACTTGTATATGTTCTTCTAGATGGTTTGAAATAAAACTAAATTAAGTGATTGAAATGTATTTAATTACACTTGTCAAAGTAATTGAGAGTAATTAATTACATTTGAAAAAAAACAATGTAATTGTAATAGCAAGTAATTGACAAAATTATCATTGTATTTGAAAGTATTTAATTACATTTCAAAGTAATTGACCCCAACCCTGATTTCTTCTCCTGTATATTCATATGTTAAACTGTGATCGCCTGTTCTACCCGCTCCCTACCCACATGTGTCAAGTTAAAAAAAATTAATCTAAACTATCCTAAGACGCTTCCATATTCCGATGACTAATAATGGCTTTGTTGTTCTTGGGAACAGAATTCTAAAGAGGTGCCCCGCCCAACCCTGGAGATGGCGATTTGAACAAAATTGAATCTAACACTACCTGAGGATGCTTCAATATCAATATGAGTAGTCATGGCTTTTTTATTCTTAAGAAAAGGGTCTTTAAACCCCCCCCCCTACATATTCCTAGTATGTAAAAATTTAATCACCCATTGAGGATGCTTCCATATTAATATGAATTTATTAACCATAGTTTTGTTGTTCTTGGGAACAAGATTTTTCAGAATTTTCCTATTTATATTCATCTGTTAGGCTTTCATACCCCATTGTGGCCACACCCTACTCGTGGGGGGTTCATGATTTGAACAAACTTGAACGTTCAATACTTGGGGATGCTTCCATTTAACAACATGGTTAACCATGGCTATGTTGTTCTTAAGAAGATTTTGAACGGTTTAATTCCTATGAAAGATTTGATTCCGCATTGTGACCCCATCATACCCCAAGAGATCACTATTTAAACTAATTTGAATCTACACTCCCTAAGAATGCTTTCATGTAAATATGACTAATCACAGCTTCGTTGTTCTTGAGAAGAAGATTTTTAAAGCTTTAAAGCTCATCCATATATATTCCTATGCGTCTCCAAGCAGTCTGGTATCGTTTAAACGTTGCCGGTGGTCCAGTCTGACTCTACATCCATAACCTTAATTGGCCTATCGACCACATCTTTGGCACACTTTTCTATTTTACTTTGTTTCTGTTATTTCTTGGGTATCTAGGTACTTGTTCAGACTCTGTGTTATTTTTATTGTCTCTGTATCTGTCAGTGTTTTTTTTTCTCCATTATGTCCTCTTCCTCCAGATCCAAATCCTGAATATTGACCTATTGACCTCTTCCTCTGGATGCATAGCCTTGTCCCAAAAAAGCCATTTGATACTTATTTCTGACATCATTTATATCACCACTCATTTGATTCATCTTCGTGTACATCTTCTGATTAATGGCTGTAAGCTCCTCTATTTGTTTATTACTTGTGGTTGTTTGTTGTATTGTATTTTACTTTCCCTCTTTTCTTCTCAACATATCCTGTTCTACTTTCCTTGTCGCCTTTCTAAGCTCTTTGAAATCTGTGCATTGTTTAAAAATATGCCCTGTAATATCTTTCAGATTTTTTGTGAGCCCATTTCAATACATGTTTCTCAACATCTGGTCTTTTTTTGTTGTGTTATTTGTCAATTCTGTATTACTTTGTTCAAGGTCTTCCAGACGACAATATCCTCATTTTCCTTTTGTGTCGCACTATAAAACTGGGAAAGTAAATTTTTATCAACATCCATAGTGCTATACACACTATCAAATCTATGCAATATATCTATAATATGTGCATGTGTTCCAAGTTTCATCACAACTCGAGCTGCACCACCCCTCAATGACTGCTTTATACTCTGTAGTATAGTTAAGCTTTTTACATCACCTCTCCTCAAATATTCCACCTCAAGGGGTTGGGGGTGGGGTTGTAGGTTTAACTTCTTTCAGTTTCAAATTTTGTTCATACACTACTACAATATCCTTAATTGACTATACTGCAATAAAAAGTTTTTAAAAAAAAAAGTGGGGAGGTGGCCAACCAGCCTTCCAAAAAACAATTCTGATTGTAAAAACTATTGTTTGTAATTTCTTTCAGTATCAAATTTTGTTCATACACTACATTACCCTTAATTGACTTTACTGTTATTTGAAGTAAAAAAGTCGTGAGGGGCCAACAGCCTTTTAATCATTGGGGGGGGGGGGGGTTAGGTTTCACTTCTTTCAATCCCAAATTTTGTTCATACACTACTACAATACCCTTAATTGACTATACTGCAATAAAAAGTAAAATAAAAAGTGGGGAAGGGGCCAACCAGCCTTTCAAAAACAATTCCAATTGTAAAAACTAATGTAATTTCTTTCAGTATCAAATTTTGTTCATACACTACAACATCACCCTGAATTGACTTTACTGCAATTAGAAGTAAAAAAAAAAAAGTCGTATGGGGCCAACCAGCCTTTTAACCGGGGGTGGGGGTTAGATTTAACTTCTTTCAATCCCAAAATTTGTTCATAAACTTCCACAATACCTTTAATTGACTATACTGCAATAAAAAGTAAAGAAAAAAGTGGGGAGGGAGACAACCAGCCTTTTAATAAACATTTCCAATTGTAAAAACACTTATGTATGTAGATTTGGGAAAAATTGGAAGTGGGGGCAGCCCTTCCAATTCTATGTGCTTACAACATGTACAACCGACTTTAAACCCATGTATTGATTTCAAACACTGCACAGCTCGTCCAGACCCGGGGGTTTTGCAGGATAAAAGTTATCAGCGTAATTCAAAGTATTAATCGCGTAATAAAAAGTATTAATCCTTTTTTCCTTCCCATATTTGACAGTGTTTTGTTCCTTCTGAAATTTGAAAAAATTCTACTTACTAACACTAGAAAAAGATGTGTTTCATAAGATTTCTGAATTCAAAAGGTGTCTCTCTTCTTCCGATTTATTTATATTAAATCAAATTGGAAAATACAACAGCGAACTACAAGACAACAAATTGTACAGACTATAAATCAACTTAAAGTTACATCAAACATAAAATACATGGAACAAAATAAGTGTATTCAAGAAATCATGAATTGGATCGGTCAATTACTTTTATTGAAGATATCCCAGGATTTAAGGTGTCATCTTTGAGAATACAGGAATTTCTACAATAGTAAAGAACTACTGTTGGTCAAGAAGATTTGCTCATGGTGGTATCTTCTCTGGTTTTTTACACTGACCAATTCCATGACACAACTTCCTGTCAATCAACACTTTTCATTGGTGTTTACATTTACATACATGTTATATATTCCATTTATGTGCACAATCGGTTAGCTTTCTCTTTTATCAGTTTACCTATAACCTATCTGAAAAAAAATAACATTTTGTTTGATGCTTATGCTCTTGTGAATCTTAAACTGATTTCTTACATGCATTACAATTATGTGGCTTTCAACCTTGATGACTCTCTTGATATTCTAATACTTTCACTTTAATATTAAAAAAAAAAACATGCGTACACATCACAATGGGAATTTTTCGCTTGAATTTTCTTTGTGTTTTTTTCTTCTTGTTTGTAAATCTAACAAACACCTCAGATAGCAAACACATTCCTTCAGCCCTCCGTATGTGTTCTCCTGTGTCTTTGTAAGTTAAATGATAATGTGTAAGCCTTCTTGCACAATTCATATTCATACAAGTTCACACCTGTATGTATCCTCATGTGTCTCTGTAAGCTATTTAAGCCTGCCACAAAAATCACATTTATAAGGTTTATCACCTGTATGTGTCCTCACGCTTTTCTTACACTAAAGTCTCGTATACTTGTATGCATTCACACGTACACCATATTTATAAGATTTTTCCACCTGTGTGTGTCCTCATGTGTTTCTTTTAAGTCCCTGATCCAATTCCTAAGGTTTCTCACCTGTGTGTATCCTTGTGTGACTGTGTAAGTTACTTGATTGGTTGAATGCCTTCCCACATACATAGCATTTATAAGGTTGATCACCTGTATGTATCAGCATATGAGCCTGTAAGCTACCTGACTGAATGAATGCCTTTAAACACACACTACATTTATATGGTTTTTCACCTGTATGTATCATCATGTGTCTCTTAAAGTTACCTGATATGCTGAATGCCTTCAAACACACATTACATTTATAAGGTTTATGACCTGCATGTGTCCTCATGTGCATCTGTAAGGTACTCAACTGGGTAAATACCCGCCCACACAAATCACATTGGTAAGATTTATCACCCGTATGTGTACGCATGTGTTTCTGTAATGCATGTAGTACAGTGAAGGCCATTCCACAAATATCACATTCAAAAGGTTTTTCCCCAGTATGTATCCTCATGTGTACCTTTAAGTTTCCCGATGTGGAGGAAACCTTTCCGCATACTTCACATTTATAAGGTTTAACACCTGTGTGCATCTTCATGTGTCTATTTAAAGAGGTTTTTTCAGAAAATGCTCTTTGACACAAATCACTCTTATAAGGTTTTTGAACAGTATGTGTCTTAATGTGTTTCCGTAAGCTACATGAATCAGAGAATGATCTCCAACACACATCACATTGAGGTTCCTCACCAGTGTGTGTTTTCCTGTGTTTCTGCAGGTTTCCTGATATAGTGAATGCCCTCTCACACACATCACATTGATAAGGTTTATCACCTGTATGTATCCTCATATGTTTCTTCAAGCTACCAAGTTCACAGAACGCCTTCTCACAAACGTCACATTTGTAAGGTCTATCACCTGTATGTGTCCTCATATGTATCTTTAAATACCATAAATAACTGAAAGTTTTCCCACAAATGTTACACGCCTGGGATTTTTTCCTCACATGTGTATTGATCTGTCTTTCTGATTTCTCTTTTTGATTATCAAAACAGTTGTTTAACTTTTCAGCATTACTTTGAGTCTGTGATCTGGATGAAAGAGCTACCATTTCCCCCTGTTTTTGTAACAAAGAAAACAGTTTTAATGTTACTTGTTGATAACATTAAGGATAAAAACATCTACATTTATAGGAATCCATTAATATTACTAGTAGAATAAAGTTCAACAAAGTTCCACCTTTAAGATTTGGCAATTATTATAATGCAATATTATAATAAAGAGTGCAAAAAAATGAACAGATTTACAGACAGACCCATTCAATAATCTTCAAGAACGTGTCTGGACAAGTCAGACAAGTCTACAAACGGACAGACAGATTGACAAGCTGTTTACAATATATGCCCCTAAACTTTGCTTGCAGAGGGTATATTTTTTCCCTGTATACTTTGATCCCCATTTGTGGTCCCATCCTACCCCTAAGAGCAATGATTTTTTTTTTTATAGATTTTTAAAGATTTTCCCCTATATATTTCAATGTTAAAGCCAATCCCTTGTTTGCAAAGGAGAATTTTAATGATCCCACCCTATTTTATGTCTTTTTTGTTGTTTTTGGTTGTCTTCCTCCAAACAATCCTCCAGTATGTGTTGCATAAAAGTGTTGACCCTGGACAAACAGACAGATGGACACAGTGATTAGTTATACCTTATAGTAGAGTCCTAAAAAGATTTTACCTTCATATTTTGCTGCTGTTGATTTTCCTCCTCGTTTACAGGATGTGAATTCTCACAGGTCTGCTTCTTTTCTATAATCAAGACAAGGAATATGTAAGGATAAATTGCATGGTCTACAAGGAACACCCACAACCTTACTCTATTTCCCATAGCTTTAAACAAGTGGCCCATGGGCCACAATGCTCACCTGAGTTACTTTGGTCCTGCTGTTCTTCACCAGATTTTCCCCTTGTAATAAACTTTGGATTCCCTATTGTGGCCAAACCCTAACTCCTGGAGACATGCTTTTAACAATTTAGAATTTACACTACCCCAGGATGCTTCCACAAAAGTTTCAGATTGAATCTATATTGAGCAAATCTTGCATAGCAAAAATATTAAGTATTATGTATATTACCTATTTTTGCCCCATCCAAACTATGGGGACCAAGCTTTTTATAACTTTGAATCTACACTATGTAAGAAAGCTTTCATGACTTCTGATTGAGAACATAAGTTTCATAAATACACAGCCTATATTTTGCATTTCCTCTTCCTTCAACAACGCATGTCTCTTCATTGAAACAAGTATGAATTCTATTCATGAAATGAAGTATTGTGCCAAATTCGGTTCTACATGTAAATGATTTAGACTAGGTGTTTTTGTAGTGGACGTCAAAAAAAAAAAAAAGAACTGTTAAAGGGCATTAAGACTAATGGCAGATTCTTTATCAGAAAAACTCAGTTGTCTGGATCTTTGGCTGAGCTGAGCTAAAACTGCAGCACCAAAGCATCGGGCTCAACATTAGAGAGGTTAAGCATTTGGCCGTGTACGTTTACTTGTATATGTAAACTTAGAAGTGTTTTTACAAGTACGCGTAACTAACATCGTGTTCTGTTTAACAAACTGCACATGTACTGGTATGTGTAAAACGTCATTTCAACAAGTCACTTTACAATCCATTTGTATCAAATAGTTTTATGACTTTAATTAAAAAAGATACATTGGATGTACGTAGTAAATTCTCAACTTCACACCAAAAACGGCCTGAAAATATATATTATATAATTTGAGTTTAAGAAGTACAAGTTCTCACCTCCATGTACTTATGAATCCACACGTTTTGTACAACTTGTAGAATTACGCGGTATGCAAAACTGATGACGTAAATCGCAGTAAATTAGGGGATTTCCCTATCTACACATTCACGTAGACGTACACGGTCATCTGCTTAACCTCTCTACTGACTTTTATTCTGGTAATTCTACTAGACCTGAGATCACTAACTGACTTATTTATTACTTAATATTGCTAACTGACTTATTTATTACTTAATATTGCCATAAAATACATAATTGAATAATGACACTGTCAATGAATAAAAAATGATCGTAATGTTATTTTATTTTATTTATTTATTTATTTATTTTTTATTATTATTTATTTATTTTTTTTTATTTATTTATTTATTTTTTTTTTTTTTTTTTTGAGGTTCAAAAAGTCATGCACATGTAATATATTACAGAATAAATTCCTTTTTATTGAATTTAAGGAACATCAGAAAGGGAGTTGTATCACATTTCAACTCACATTTCAATTATACTACAGAACCAGTCTAGTAGGAAGGATAACTCTGGGTAAAGTTTGAACATTATGATAAAATGTAGCAAAATTGGCGAAATATTGACATGTATACTAATAATAAACAGTGATTGAAACTCACCGTAAATTTAGTTAGACATGCAGGGCTGACTGCTAGTGAAATTTGTCAGCCGTGCCAAAAATGTACTAGCCGAGACAATGATTGTCTTGTATAAATTTGTTTTTTTGCAATAATGTGAACAGGGGTCAGATCATCAAAACTTCGATCTCGAATCTATAGGCTGATGAATTCTACCTTTTTGCTTGAAACACTTTGCTACCAATACCATTAGTTGATTTGGGAGAGATTTATCAATTAATGACTTTTGGGAAATTTGAACAAGTCCAGCCGGTCGATACATGCAAATCTGTTAGCCCGCAGCAAAATTTGTGCATCTCGGGAGGTCGGGCGCATTGTTATTTCAAATACTGTAACAGAGCAAATGCACTTTTAAATTTGCAAACTATTATAGTACAACAATGAAAGAAAGTTTTCCAAAATGAATCTTTTTACAATTATTTTCAATGGAATCGAAAAATAAACGTGAAACCAATAATCTGAGTTGCCTCTGACTCTAACCTCCACTGTCACATTCTGACATATGTGAAGGAGATACTTTTCAAAATGTAAAAGCAGGAGCTAGAGTCAGAGAAATCTTTGATTAACAGTTCGATGAAACAAGAAAGCACACAACTGAATAAACTGTATAGAAATCCTGAAATAATTATTTCACTCTTTGAACATACTGAAACATTGATCTATAATATTTTCACACATCCATTTGGGCTACTTTGACACAAATTAAACTAAGCGGTCCAAACTTTTACCAGTCCGAGTCAATAAATTATATACATTTTTGAGAAAATGCAATAAATGAACTGATTTTGATCTTACCCCTAGTTTTTTTTTTTTTTTTTTTTTTTCAAAAAGGATGACTGCACTTAAGGACATGCGAAATTTGCGACAAAATAAACTTTCAAAACAAGCATTTTTCTTTTCATTACAAGAATGGTCAACATCCAATCTACAACTATATGTAATTACGTTTAATAAAAGTGTGTATTTACGAAGTTCGAATCTGTTTTCAAAGGCAGGGGTCATCACAATTTCTTGAATCTCCATTCGATAATGAGGACGCCCACTTTTTTACTAACTTTATACATAGTCAGCGCATGTTTGTCTATTGTTTTACGTTTAACAGTAGTTGTATATTTGCATTTAAATAATAATGTTTCAAAAGGAGATTAATAGACAAACATACGCTCATGGTTAAAAAGAGAAAAAACTGCTTCTTCTTACATTCGCTCTCTGTGTTGTAACCAGGGGTTGTGACATGTTGAATATTATAATCTACCACGTGATTTCTTTCCTCAGGTAACTTTGTGAATACTAAATTCCGTCACGTGACTTGTAAGGTAGCATGTTTTGTGCTAACTAGGACATTGTGTTCGAACACGTTAATATAAGTCATCTGGCATTGATGTAAAATCTGCTTTAATTATATTGACGTGCTCATATTGTTAATTTCGTTTTTAAACCTTTGTCAGAAGTGTATTTGTGCCATACAGAATGGAGAGGGAGATTGGAAAGAGTGATCAAGTTCCTTATTTCAAACATGTCATTGTTATTTATCTAGTCTAATTTTAGAGCCATTGTTACAATGTTAGCTCCACCTCTCATGCACATCTAATGTTCATTCAAGGGCAGGTAAGTGTAAATTCACTATATTTGGAAAGCAGTAAGGGCAAAAAACATTGAACCATTTTATTGTATCACAGTCTTAAATCATTTTAAGATTTAAATTTGGTTCAAAATTGACAAGATTCTTTCATAAACATACAGTCCCTGAAACGTTCTACTTTCCCATTTTTCCGTTCGCTCACCGTTCGTTCACCGTTCGTTCAGCGTGCGTTCACCGTTCGTTCACCGTGCGTTCACCGTTCGCTCTCCGTTCACAGTTTTGCGTTCACCGTTCACCGTGCGCTCGCGTTCACCGTTCACAAAGCGTTCAGCGTTCGCTCTTCGTTCCGTTCACTTTGCGTTCACCTTGCGTTCAGCGTTCACCTATCGTTCAGTTTCCATTGCCATTCGGAACTCCCAAGTGAAAGGACTTATCTTTTTGTAGGTAAGGAGTTACAGATTTTTTTATTTATTAACTAACATATCGTGTTTGAAGAATCATTATTTCATGGGGGAAAATATCTAAGATATATATTTTTATTATTCTAACTTAGCTATTAGGTTATTTATTAAATTACTCTGGAAAATAAATGTTGTTATAAGCACATTCTGTACCTATGTAGAACGATGCTGAAATATTAAATTTAACTAAGGGCAATTTTGTTGTTTTGTTAAAGACGACAAATCGTTAATGGAGATATAATTATCCAAGTCAAATAATTACGCAGCAAAATTACGAAAATATTTATTTCTAACGCTTTTTTTAATTCAATTACTACAGAAAATATGATAGAACTAGTTCTGAGAGTTATACATAGTACTGCGGATATCCTGTTAATTTATTATCTTTTGAGCGAATTAAATTGATAGTGTATTTAAAGGAAATATTTATTTAAAATATAATGCACTACAGAATTTTCGCTACTATAATACATGTATGTAAAGTCTATAGTTATAGAGAAAAAAATTCTTTCTTCACCGTAACTTTATATGTTTGCCATTCGATATGATTACCCCCCCCCCCCTTTCCCCTAAATCGGTTACTTAGTCAGTACTGTATTTCCAGAAAATTTTAATTAACCTGTTAAAAAAAAGTTAAGGTCTTTTTTAGAACAAAAATTTCAGTCTCAAAACAAACATGCATCTAAAAAAGTCACAAAACAATAGTAGTTCACAATGTACACGTGTCGGCGGTGGTGTTTGAAATTGGCAGAGAGTATGTTTCAAATTCAAGTGTTAATGCCCAATATATTTTATTCATTTATTATTCAAATGTTGGTATCAAATCTAGAAATGATAAAAATAAATGTTATAACTTGTTGGAAATACTCGCACTTCGTCTTCGATGTGACGAAACTTTCACACCTACACAGGGTCGAATGATTTTGATTGACAGGACAAGCACGTGGACTTCGTGTGAACTTGAAGCAGGAAAATAAAAACGAGTAATACTGTCAAACAGATGGATATGATTTGTTGATTAAAAAAAAAGTTACTTTCATTGTCTAATATATTTAGAAAAAAATTTCAGAGTTATTGTTTGATATAGGTACAAACATTTAGTGAAGCCTGAAAGGAAGGGGGGGCTAAAACGGAATCTCTCTCTCTCTCTCTCTCTCTCTCTCTCTCTCTCTCTCTCTCATTTGTCTGTTTAATAAAAATTATAACAGCATATTACTTGAATATCAAGTTCTGAAAATTGAATTTATAACAAATAAAATGAATATGTATCTTTGTATTTTCTTGTCCGAGTATAATCAAGGCCATCTACAGATACATGTAGAAGTCTGCTCAATAAAACATCATGAAAAATAGAAATGACACATAATATATTATTGTATTAAAAATTTAAAATACGAGCGTATAAATGCAAAACGTCCACTGACCTTTGTAATTAATTTTTTTCATTACTTTACATGAAATCGCCTTGACACGGAGATATATGAATGGATGTTACAATCGCTTTAATTCATTCTGTAAGTCAGAAGTTTTCTCTGATTTGTTATCAAATAAGAATAAACATTTTTATTTTCCAACTAAAAAAAATATCTTTTATACTTCAGCGTTCGGCAACAATTGCAATGTTTTAATGCGTTAAAAATCGTATGATTAAAAACTTAATGTGCATGAATCGTCTTTCTTAGGACAATTTTGGAGAATTTATTTTTTTACTTATTTATTCATTCATTTATTGGTTTACTTATTTATTTATTTTTTATTTTATTTTATTTTATTTTTTTTTTTGGCACCTGACATTATAATACAATAAAAAAGTCAATGCAAGGAAAAGATCAGAGGCATTCCGAATATATCGTTCATCTTGCGTTCACCGTTCGTTCACCGTTCACTTTGCGTTCGCGTTTGCGCTCCGTTCGCGTTCTGCGTTCGCTCACCGTTCACCGTTCACACATCGTTCACCAAGTTGCGTTCAGCGTTCACACATCGTTCACTCACCGTTCGCTCTGCGTTCGTTCAGCGTTCGTTCACCGTTCGTTCAGCGTTCGCTCACCGTTCAAGTGGGAAAGTAGAACGTTTCAGGGACTGTACAAAAGTAAAATAAGGTTTAAAATAGATATAAAAGCAACCGAAGCAATCGAAAAAGACCCCAAAACAGGCGTTAATGCAGTCATCCTTTCTAACAATACTCTGGCTAAATACAATTACATTTTTAATTGAGAACTTCAGTTGAATTTAAGTCTAAATAATAGGGATGTCAAATCGGTCAATTTTTGATAATCGGTTACTCGGACGTTTTTCCGATCGAGTACCCGGGTACTCGATAAAAAATGTAAATACAAGTGTGTTAAATTTTTTTGAGGCCTGCTAAGCTCTGTTAAACCCCATAGCTATTTTTATCACGTTTATAAATGTATATAAACATCGACTCCAACGGAAATGATTTCTTAGTACTAAATTTATTTATCAAACACAAAAGACAAATGGAAATGATTTCTTAGTACTAAATTTATTTATCAAACACAAAAGACACATGGCTGAAATATTGCCGACTCGGCGTTAAACAATAATAATCAATCAATCAAAAGACACAATTAATACATCAAAAAATACAAATGGTTTACAGTATAACTATTTAGGATCTATATCATCAAAAGGAGGACAATCTGTTACGCATGTTTCTGATGATTAGACTAGCGAAAGAGAAGGAATGGCCGTTGTTGGGATCACTACGTAGATTAATATTATTTCATATGTTGATTGTTTCCCGCGTATATACTAAACTTACTACACAAACTGACTTTCAACATTTTTTTTAATCTTTAGTTATTTCTAAATATTTCTTCACTTTTGAAGTGGGTAGCGGCATTTCTATGCATGTCCGATTTCACTGCCGTATATTAACTAAATAATTTTCAAATAATTTGAAGATAATAGACCATCGATGTTCACTGAAGCCATCTAAAAATTTAGGACCACAATAGGTGAGACAGCTGGGTGAATGGTCACTAATTACTGTATATACTATATACACAGCCACAGGGTGTTTTACAGGTGTAGATGACAACACGCAAATTACTGTATGCATATTTATGTTATTTTTTAATAAGTTTTTGATAAAAATACTTTGAAATAAGAAAAAAATGCACATCCGAGTAAACGAGTACCATTTTTAGTATTCGATACTCGGACGTTCGATCGAGTACCCGGTTAATCGGGTACTCGTTGATATCCCTACTAAATAATCAATGGCAGTCAATCAAAGTTTATTTTTTTTAAACCTTTTTCTTTAAGAAAAAACATCAGAGTCCGAATTTTGGATATAATTTGTGAGCATATAATGTAACATACTAACTAAAATATGATTTATGGTCAGGATTAGCATGACATTGTATAAATTTCCACTTAGTTTTGAACCCTGAATCATAATACATACCAGTAGTTTCAACATTAGATATGGGATAT